ATGCCATATATTTATGCTAGTTGGGAGCCTCTACTTAATTGATTGAAGCATGCCTTCTTGAAATACCATGTTTGAGCAGCATTATGATTATGTCTTGAACTGGAAAAACATGCTTTATATCTTTGATACCTGATGTTCATGAGGATATTTACTGTTTCAGATCTAGGCTTGTTATTTATATCTATGTTGTAAGTATCTTGATGCCTATAGTCTCGCCACTACTTCTTCGAGGTTAGACTTGATACTTACTGGATACCGATTGTGGTGTACTCATTCTACAATTTTGAACATCTCTATATGCAGATCCTCAGGTGATACTAGCGGAGCCTCTTGTTGAGCCTAGATGATAGCTCAGAAACTTAGGGCGAGCTGCACCTCATTGATTCGTATCGCAGTGCACATGTCTCTATCCTTATTTATCTCCTATCCATTTTCTTTCTCGCAAACAATTTTGGATTGTGTATTTAGGCTTGTACATTTCAGCAGTTACTTGTGTACTTGTGTCACCTAGTTCTTCGGGGTTTTATTATTTTGGTCATGTTTTGAACATGTTATGTTTGTATCAAATATTTTATCATTTTGAGATTATTCCTGTCTTTGTTTATGATATGACTCTGTTAATTAAAGAAATCTAGATTATATTCTGCCAATTGTGAAGTTAACTTGCTTAGCAAGTACGGCTTGGCGCCATCACACCTTAAGGTGGGATTTTGGGTCGTGAAAAGTTGGTATTAGAGCTCTCGTTTTGTATATGAAAAGATTGGAATATGTTGGGTTGTTTTTTAGTATTTTATGGTGTATATAAGATTGGAAAATAATGTATATATATTGTTATTGTTGTGTTCTTATGTTGTTAGTGTTATCTTGAATTTGAAGGAAGTAAGGATTATAGGGGAGATACTGCCCATTTTAATACAAAATAAGTTGGTCGTTCGTTGTGCGATAGTTGTACCTTTTTTAACTTAATGATAGTATTATTATCGTTGTTTTAGATTAAAGTGTAAAGAGGCGAGTTCAACTTGGTGATTGGAAATATTGTGATAAGGTATGTTAAGGCTAAACCATTCCTTCATTTTGGCATGATCTCGTAACTACATGAGTTTGATAACGAGACATAAAGAGAAGTTCGTATTCCTGAACTTATGTACATTATCCTAATCTCATAAGTTACACTATTCTCCCTTATTGGGACTTTATATTCAGTTAAGTATTGTTTTCCTTCAGCCGAGAGAGCATAGAGTCTATATATATATGGTATTACAATATTTTCACCACCATCGAGCTATAGTCGATGGAAGACCCCTATTGGGCAACCTCTGATTAGATGATAAGTTATATACCGAGCCTACTATTGTCAAGCGCCTATGAGCAAGCCCAGGATGGCCAAGATATAGAGCCTAGTATGGTCGAGTGCCTATGAGCGAGCCTACTACGACATAGCAGTTACACATAGCCTTATATAGCCGGACAACTATTTTACTTGCTATATTGAGAGAGATGAGTCAGTATCAGAAGGTAAGCATATTTTCAAATTATATTTGACTCCCAGGTACTTTCAGTTATGATATTATTAGTTCAGTTTCAGCTTTCAGTTATTTTGTTGCCTTACATACTCAGTACGTTATTTCGTACTAAGATCCCTTTTGCTGAGGATGCTGCATTTCATGCCTGCAGGTCCTGATAGACAGCTGGATAGACCTTCCTAGTAGACAAAGTCAAATATCAGCTTGGTTGGTAAGCTCCACTTCCTCGGAGCTACCAGGTCTATACCTTGGATTCCACTTTATATATATATAAGTTTGATGGATAGTTCGAGGCCTTGTACCGACCATAATACAATCCACTTATCCTTAGAGGCTGGTAGACGAGTCTTGTACATTTTTTATATTAGTATTGTGGCTTTACCAGCCCTATATAGATGTTTAGTTTGGTATTGCTAGTTGTAGACGTTATTTTTTAGATGATTCAAAATATGGCCTCATCCGCCTAAGTTGAGGGTTACCCCTCCAGAGTTCACAGTTACAGAGTGGTACGCTCTAGTTGAGTATGGCACCGGGTGCCGGCCACGCCTCTTCAAGTACAGGGCATGACACTAAGAGCAATGTTGTCAGTGAGGTATGTGGATAGGGTTGCACGCCGTAACAGACCTTATGGCTATATGTGGACTAGGATGCATGCCGCAACAAGCCCTTTGGCTATGTATGGATCGGGTTGCACGTCGCAACAAGCCTTATAGCTATATGTGGATCGGATTTCACGTCGCAACATGTCTTATATCTATATGTGGATCGGGCTGTGCGGTGCAACAGACACCATATAGTGCTGAGTGACCGAATATGTTGAGGGATTGAGCATGAAGAGTGGGAGTGTAAGACAGTGAGATTGAGTACTCTGAGAGTGTGAGTACATGAGTTCATCATTATGATGCATTGTGTTGGCATGTATACTTGGAATACAGGCACAGAGATGCATTTTCTCATGTTACACGGTATTGTGACATTCATAACTTCACATGCACATTCACATTTAGGCATAGAGATGTACTTTCCTCATGCTATCTGAGATTTAAATATTTTATATGTTGTTGAAAGTATTTGGGGAAAATCATAATTTTCTGATATACTCACATTTTGGTGAATTCGGTGAAAGAATTGGATTTTACTATTATACTTGAGAAGTATGCCTATTTTTGTCGTAATTGTAGACGAGCTGAGCATCACATCTTTGAATTGTTTCTTGTACTACTTTTATTATATTGTTATGAGTTGTTTTTGGAATTAGTGTTGGAATCTGACCATTTGTCCAAGCTCGTCATTGCTTTTAACCTAAGGTTAGATTTGTTACTTATTGACTACATGGGGTCGGTTGTACTCATACTACACTTCTGCACCTTGCGTGCAAATTTAGGATGTTGATGTTGTTGTGTATGGCAGGAGCTGGCATTGAAGATGTACCTGCATTCCGGTCATAACTGCCTCTTGTTCTTGGTAGCTTTAGTATTGTTAATCTGTTCATGTATGTTTCAAACAGATGATGTATTTATTTCATTCCAGTTTTGTGAACTCTAAATCTTAGAAACTCATGACTTGTATTACCAGTCCTTGAGAATTCTTTGAATAAAAGTTCCGTTATATTATCATTACTTCTCTTAATGAATCTCATTTGAATTGGTTTATTGTTAATTGGCTTACCTAGAGGGTTGGGGTTAGGTGTCATCACGACTAGTTGGATTTTATGTCGTAACAGTATTAGGTCGATACATAGATTTTATATTGGATGACTGCAATACGTGGATTTTATATCGGGTTACATAGATTTTATATAGGGTACATAAATTTTGAACCGATAAGGCAATAGATGGAGTCTTGAGCATGCATGACCTTGATCATGTAGAAGTGTTCATTTTAATTCTAACGGTTGCATGCCATATATTTATACTAGTTGGGAGCCTCGACACCCTTGATTGAAGCACGCTATATTTAAATACCATATCTGAGCGGTATTATAATTTATCTCTTGAATTGGAAAAGCATGCTTTATATCTTTCGGCTGTCTTATATCTTTGATACCTACTATTGATGAGAATATTTACTGTTTCAACTCCAGGCTTGTTATTTATTTCGGTGTTGTAAGTATCTTGATGCCTATAGCCTCGCCACTACTTCTTTGAGGTTAGACATGATATTACGAGGTACTGACTGTGGTGTACTCATACTACACTTCTGCACTTCTCTTTGTGTTGATCGTAAGGTAATACAAGCGGAGCTTCTTGTTGAGCCTAGGGGATTGCTCTGAGACTAAGGACGAGTTGCACCTCATGGATTCGTATCGCAGTGCCCGAATCCTTGTCCTTTTTTATATCCTATATATTTTCTTTCTCACAAATGGTTTTGGATTATCCATTTAGACTTGTACTTATTCAGTAGTTGCTTGTACACTTATGTCACCTAGTTCTTGGGGGTTATATTATTTTGGTCGTGTTTGGACCATGTTATGCTTGTAGCAGATATTTTACCATTTTGAGATTATTTCTATCTTTATTTATGATATGACTCCGTTAATTAAAGTAATTTGGACTATATTCTATTGATTGTGAGTTGACTTGCTTAACAAGTACGGTTAGACGCTATCACGGCTTAAGGTGAAATTTTGGGTCATAGCATGTATAGTTTATAATTATATAACTTTTATCCTTTTCTATATTTGTTTGTTTATTAGTATACATTTAAACAATGGATGTATACGCTCTTTTATAGTTTCAAACTTTTCATCTTCCCCTCTAATTGCTATTTACTTGATATATTACAATCCATTTATGTATTCTTTTTTCGGGGCATTTGATCTTATATTCTCTTTTCTTTCGTTGAGTAAACCTATTGGACAATGATCTACGGGAGGAAATGTACGAATACATCCCTCAAATTGGAACTTCATATTTATAATATATATTTTTTTGGGTGAATTCTCCTTTTTTTCTCGATAAAATAAAATCTTTATTCATGAAAAAAAAGGGAAGGTAAAAAATTGAGCTAACACTGATATGATGGTACAAGTCAACAACAACAACAACAACATACTCAGTATAATTTCACAAGTGGGGTCTGGGGAAGGTAGTGTGTAAGCAGACCTTACCCCTACCTGGCGAGGTAGAGAGATGGTTTTCAATAGACCCTCCGCTCAAGAAAAGATGAAAAAAGAGAAAGGAAGAAGACAAAGGAGAAAGAGGAAGAAGAAAGAAAAAAATAGAGGGACGAAGGACGATAAGGAAAATGGGAGAAAGACAACTATAACAACAACAACAACAACAACAACAATAATAACGAGACCACTAATAGAGAATAGTATCAAACAATAGTAAACTGGAACATACGATATACAGAGCGAACGAAAAAAAAAGAAGGATCTACTAATACTATTAAAAAAGAATGAGGAACTCTCGACTACCTACTAGCCAACTACCCTAATATTCGACCTCCATACCCTTCTATCCTGGATCATACCCTCAGTGAGCTGAAGTAGCGCCATATCTTGCCTAATCACATCTCCCCAATACTTCTTCGGACGTCCTCTACCCCTTCTCAAACCTGCCACGACCAGCCTCTCATACCTTCTAACAGGGGCATCCGTACTCCTCCTTTGCACGTGCACGGACCATTTCAACCTCAACTCCCTCTTCTTGTCCTCTACGGTAGCCACTCCCACTTTGTCCCGAATAACATCATTCCTAATCTTATCTCTCCTAGTATGCCATACATCCATATCAGCATCCTCATTTCTGCTACTTTCATCCTCTAAACATGGGAGTTCGACTGGCCAACACTTAGCCCCATACAACATAGTAGGTCTAACCACCACTCAGTAAAACTTACCCTTGAGTCTTGGTGGCACCTTCTTATCAAACAAAACACTAGATGCGAGGCTCCATTTCATCCACCCCGCACTGATACGGTGGGAGACCTCATCATCAATCTCCCCGTTACCCTGGATTATAGACTCGAGATACTTGAAACTACCCCTCCTCGGGATGATTTGGGTATCAAGCTTCACATCCTCATCCGCTTCATGAGTCTCGTCACTGAACTTACACTCAAAGTATTTCGTTTTGGTCCTGCTCAACTTAAAACCCTTAGACTCTAGGGTCTGCCACCAAACCTCCAGCCTCGCATTGACCCCGCTCCTCGTCTCATCAATCAGCACTATGTCATCGATAAGTAACATGCACCATGGCACCTCCCATTGAATGTGTCACGTTAGCACATCCATCGCTAGAGCAAATAAGAACGGGTTGAGAGCCGATCCTGGTGCAACCCCATCACTACCGGGTAGTGATCTGAGTCTCCTCCCATTGTCCTTACCCGAGTCTTAGCACCATCATACATGTCCTTGATTACCCTAGTGTAAGCTACTGGAACGCTGTTAACCTCCAAACATCTCCACAGAACCTCCCTCGGAACTTTATTGTATGCCTTTTCAAGGTCTATAAACACCATGTGTAGGTCCTTCTTTCTCTCCCTATACCTCTCTACCAATCTCCTCACCAGATGAATAGCTTTCGTAGTCGATCGCCCCGGCATAAATCCAAACTGATTCTCGAAAATAGACATACTCTTCCTCACCTTGACTTCCACCACCCTATCTCAAATCTTCATAGTATGACTCAGCAGCTTGATACCCCTATAATTATTGCAGTTTTGGATGTCACCCTTATTCTTGTACAACGGAATCATCGTACTCCACCTCCATTCTTCGGGCATCTTATTCATCTTAAAAATAACATTAAACAACCCAGTAAGCCACTCCACGCCTGCACGGCCCGCACTCTTCCGGAATTTTACCGGGATCTCGTGTGGCCCAGTCGTTCTTCCCCTGCTCGTCTTATGCATCACTCTCATAACCTTTTTGACCTTAATACACCTACAATAGCCAAAATCACACAGACTCTCGGAGTCTTGTAATGTATTTGTAAATTTTTATTTTACTTGTACATGCCAACTCTTTGTAAGTTTCTCTTCACTTGGACATGCAATTTCTTAATTGTAGCTTTGATTTGCATAATTAATCTTATTATAGGATTGTTAATATTGTTTGTGAACAATATTTAACTAGAAATGAAACACACAAAAATTTACGCTACATAACGTTTTTCTCTATAAGATGAGCTTTAACTTCTCACAGTATAATGCTGATGCATTATTATGTTCGAAGTTAGAATTCAACAAGGACTATAGCTTAATGCACATGCTCAATATATTATTTGGTTTAGTGTTACACTTTAAACCTTTAATCAGGAATATACGTGTATGCATGCGTGTGTTTACGTTTTTGAAATGTATATCTTATATAATACATTTGATTCTTTATTTGTGGTACTATAAAATTTTTATTTCTTCTGTATCAACTATTAATTAGATTTACAGAAAGGGAAAAATATCTGCCAATAACTAGTTAGAACAATAAAACCGACCCTTTCAAGCTGACTCCTGCTTACTCCGGTCACGCGTCAACAGACATAAATTAACATAGTTGTGACCTATCAAGACCTAAGCTTGTAGGTTTATTGATATGAATGATGTTGATATGATACTTGCTTTAATTTTTATATACCCCATAGCTTGTGCCCTTGCCCAGTATAAGGAAATCTATAAGGTGCTACATTCTCCATTCTTTTACGAATGTCGTTGATTTTTGAAGCTAATAGGAAAAAGATATTAAAAAAAATGTAACACAAAAGGAATAAGGTGATATTATATTGTATAGTTGACTTAACAAAAAAAAAAGATTTATAACGTCATTATATCCATTATTCCTATTGGTAGCAATAATTTGTTGAATGAAGCTTATTTATAAATCTATTGCTACCACATTGATGCGCCGCGAAACAATTTTTTTTTATGAAAAAACTAATATAAATGACTTTTAATTTTTTCGTCATGCTCATGCAGCTCATTTTTTCAATTTTATTTTCTCTTATTTGAGCCATCCCACATCTCTCACCTGCTTTAAACTTCTTGTCGTTTGATTTAGGAATAATGTGGAATTATGCATGTTATCTCACATTTAATTATGGGTATTAGTTAATTTCAAAAATTAATTTATACTAAAATGGTGGGATAGCTAATTCTATGAAATATTCCAACCCTTTGAGATATTCTTATCTACCCATCCTGATAATCAAACAACAACATTTCTGTACTTATCCAAAAAAAAAAAATGATTAGTCTGTGAGGGAAAAATTGTTATAGTCTGTCAAAAAAGTTGATTGGTTATTAATTGTGGTTTAAAAGGCGTGTGCGTAAGACGAGGCGATGCGTAACCTTGAGAGGCAGGGCTAAAGTCCCGCGGGTAATTTTTTTTATTTTAAATATATTATAAATTAATAAAATATAATATAAATAAAAAATATATAAAAAGAATAAAATTCAAGAAAATATTGGCGAAATTTTAGGAATGGTTCAGGCAAAATTTTTGTAGTAGGACCGTGGTATGACCACCAGTTTAAAAACCAGTTAGGGATAGGTCCTGTAAATACCTTGGCGCATACCTTGATAAACCAAGTATGCTTATGTCTTTCATTGTTATAATAAAGCACTCTATCAAATGCTTGAATATAATCCCAATAAGTGAAATTCATTGGTGATTTATTAAGGCTTATCTGCCTTTCTTTCATTGTGGAAATACCCCATTCTTCAACAGATATAATCTGTTTGATAATGACTTTTGAAAAGTTATAAACATTTTCATTTGTGTTATAACCTGAAAAGTGCTGGAATTCTGCACTACCTGTACTGATCAGGATAGTTTCATAATAGGTGCGGGTTTTATATGATTCACCCGGATAGTATAATCCATTAATCAGATATCTCTGAAATATTTTCCACGGTTCTTCTTTTCTCTGAATCTCAGAGTTTTCAAGGAGAAATATCATTTCTCTTTTTGGTAACTTTTCATATGACTTGATATCGTCATTGTCTTCCTCTTTAGCAATTGAAGCAAAAGTATCACTTTGCTTTTTAGATGCTAAATAAGCCTGCAGATGTCCGTATAACGGACTGTCTTCTGGAATATCTTCCAGATGTATAGAATGTCCTGAGGATTCTCCTGTATGCGGCACCTTTGAGTTTATCAAACTCTTTTTTCCTCTTTGTATTACTGGAGAGGTTGACGAGGATCCGTATGACGATCCCTGAGAATAAGTCCTATTAGGGGAAGATCTTCCCCTACCTCTGCCCCGGGTGACCCATGAAGGGTCCATTCTGCGGAAAT